GATGTAATCTAGAATTTCTCCTACATAAAAAATCTTTTTTAACAACGTTCAATTTCGTATCTTCAGTTTTTCTCTCAACTTTGTGGCATTCTCTTTTGTTGAAATATGAGAACTCACAAGGCTTATCCCTGCAGTCGTCTGTTTAGAACTACGAGAGGTGAATTGTCTAATCTCATGCCTTATCTTTTAAGCATTGTTAGGAACTAGGAACAGTTTTGTTCTTAAGCATATAGCTAGATCAATTCCCTGGAAACTGATTTTAGCTCGTATTTGTTGTTAGACTGAGGTGGGATGGATGGTTTTCACATTTTGCAATTATATGTTGGTTAATGTGCTCTTTATGCTTGTATGTTTTTTCATGAATATCACACCTTTTCTGCTGTTTCTTTTCTTTTTTAATTCCATTAAAAATCAATTAAAACAAAGAATGAAAAGCAAAAATGGCAGGAGAAGTTTCTTGCTTGGCAGAGCTTATTTGAAAATCATTTTTCCTAAAACTCATTTTCAACCACGCATTCTCCGAATACAATAATTTTGCACGCGGATTCTTAATTTTTCCTTTTTAACCACACATTGTCCAAAAGATCATTTTTCACTTCAAATAATCTCTCCCCAAACACGTCATAGGATGGAGAAAAAAACAATGTGGAGGAAAAGAGGACGGATTCTCTATAATGAATGTGGCATCGTTTCAGCACCGTTAGCTATCTTATGTGGGTGGAACATATTGGAATGGATATCATTGGTCCCTTTATTTCATGTACGCTTCATGCTTTTTCTGCTGTTAGATTGCTGTTAGTATGAATAAGTTGAAGCTGAAATACTTACAACTACATCGTGTGTCACCTATTGTACATGAACTGAATAAGTGCTTTTTGGGGTGTAAAGGTACTGGTTTCAGTTGACTTGAGAACTTGCTATCATGAGCATACAGCTAGCTAGTGGGACACACATCAAGTCACTAACTTGATTTGTTCCGAGTTTTGGTCTCTCTCTCATAATTATTTACATGGCTGTTGACAGAAGGGATTTGGAATTTAGCAAAGATTTTCTGAGGCCCGCTGCACGTGTTGCCACTAGCAGACACTGAGTGGTGGTCTTCAGATTGCTGTTAGTATGAATAAGTTGAAGTTGATATAGTTACAACTACATCGAGTGTGACATATTGTACATGAACTGAATATCTGCTTTTTGGGGTGTAAAGATACTGGTTTCAGTTGACTTGAGAACTTACTATCATGAGCGTACAGCTAGCTAGTGGGACACACATCAAGTCACTAACTTGATTTGTTCCGAGTTTTGGTCTCTCTCTCATAATTATTTACATGGCTGTTGACAGAAGGGATTTGGAATTTAGCAAAGATTTTCTGAGGCCCGCTGCATGTGTTGCCACTAGCAGACACTGAGTGGTTGTCTTCTTTAGAGCTGTCTTTCAGTGCGTTCCTCATTTATTGCGTATATTGTCTGATTACCTCTTTCTCATGGTTGCTGTCAGGCTTAAATGTTTTCCTGGATTATGAAATTGACTATTTAATGGTAGCTTATACTGAAATTCTCAACATTTGCTTTAACTGGTCTTTGCAGTTGGAATTTTTAATGTGGTGCCTGAAGCAGAAGTAAGTGATTATGTGAGCAGGTTGCTTTCAGATGCCCAGGTCAAACTCTGTAGGAATACGTTGAAGATGCCAGCTTTAATTTTGGATGATAAGGAGAAAATGATATCGAAGTTCATTTCGAGTAATTGTTTGGTGGAAGATCCATGTGCTGTTGAGAAAGAAAGGTCTATGATCAACCTTTGGAGTTCTGAAGAGAGAGAAGTTTTCATTGACAAGCTTGCTACATTTGGGAAAGATTTCAGCAAGATTGCATCTTTTCTGGATCATAAAACCACAGCAGATTGCGTTGAGTTCTACTACAAGAATCGCAAGTCTGATTGCTTTGAAAAGGCAAGAAACAGGCCCGACGTTGCCAAGCCAAAGAAGTCCCGTTCTACTAATACATACCTGGTTGCATCTGGGAAAAGATGGAATCGTGAGGTTAATGCAGCTTCCCTTGATATAGTGGGTTCCACAGCTAGTGTAGCTAATGCTGTTGATGGCATAGAAATTCAGCAGAATCGCACATCTAGATACTTTTTCAGTGGTTCTTACAAAGCACTGAGGATTGATGATGGTTCATTAGAGCAATGGACTGGTCTTGACGTCTATAATAATGACAGAGAAACTGTGGCTGCTGATGTGTTGGCCGGTATCTGTGGCTCCCTATCATCAGAAGCTACGGGTTCTTGCATCACGAGTTCTGTTGACCTTGGGGAGGGCTATCATGATTGGAGGTATCACAGAGTGGGTTCTTCCACAAGGCAGTCTTTAGCCGCCGAAGTTACACAGAATGTTGATGGTGAACGTTCAGATGATAGCTGTGAGGAGATGGATTCTACTAATTGGACTGACGAGGAAAAGTCCATCTTCATTCAGGCCGTGTCATCCTATGGCAAGGATTTTGCAAAGATCTCACGATGTGTCAGAACAAGATCCAGAGATCAATGCAAGGTCTACTTTAGCAAGGCCCGGAAGTGTCTTGGATTGGATCTGATTCATCCTTCAACTGGTGATGTAGTGTCTGGTGATGTTAACGGAGGTGGCAGTGATGCAGAAGGTGCATGTGTTGTGGGGACTGGCTCAGTTATTTCCAGTGAGAAATCAAGATCTAAGATGGAAGATGACCTTCTGTTGAGCTGCGAATCTGATCTTGTAGGAACAATGAATTCGAATCCTAATGTTAACAAATATGAGAATAGTCATGGAATAGCACTTCAGGTTTCCACAGGCACTGAACGTGTGTTAAATAATTCTGTGCCTACTGATTGTCAAGTGAATAAAAAGCCAGGTCTAGACTTTGATGTGAGCTGTGAGGAACCGAATGGTGTTAATAGTGGGTCTGCAGCTGCTGTAGAACATAAAAATGTTTTTGTATCCTCTGAGGAAGTAGCTGAGCAAGTTATTGAAGAGGCAGATCACAATGCCCTGCCAAATAGATTGAGTAATGAGGCTGTTTTATTTGAAGTTCCTAACGGGCATCCTGGGCCAGGAAATGAAGGACGAGGACTCCGGTTACCTGAATGTAGATTGAATGAGAAGAAAGTTGCAAATGGGCATGCGACTTCTGGTGAAACAAATAGTCTAAGCTGCTCAAAGAGAGTGATGAACTATGAGCCCCAGCCATCTGCAATTCCTTCTCATCCTTCTGCTGACATCCCTTCTTCTTCACAGGTCAATATTTTATCTGGATGCCAAAAGAAGGCTGGCTTGGAAAGCTCTTCAGCAGATAAGTCTCACACCATTATGTGGCAGCACAGAGATTGCTTGGCACCTACGAGTTCGTTGCTGCGATTTTCTGCTCCAACTAAAGTCATATCATCAGCCATTGGTGACGTTGGGAATAAAGATGATCAGGGTCAAGATATTGTTTTGATAGGTGATTGTCATCGGCCTTCAGGACATTCATTGTTGGACCATATTGTATCTTCCCATGTTCTCTGTGGTTATCCTTCATCAGATTCAACGATTAAAGAGAGGAATAGCAATATGAGTTGTAAAAGACCCATTTTACTTCGAAGTGCCCCCAAGTCAGATGGAAATTTTCATCCGGACAGGCATTCAGAGTTTTATTTCCAGAAGTGCAACAGTTCGAGAAATCATAGTTCAGATGCTGAGGCTTCACTTCCATCTCGAGAACAGACCAAAGATCATTATAGACCTCAATCAGGCAGTTCAACAGATATGGAAAAACCTTGCGGAAATGGTGATGTGAAATTGTTTGGTAAAATTTTAACCTCCTCTGAGCTTAAACCTATTTCTAGTGTACACAAGAGTGAAGATGACAAGACTCAGCACCATAAAGCAGGAAACCAGTCATTCAATATGAAACTATCGGCTGATAGGAGTACTGATTTCAATTCAGATCAACTGCCGTTTGAACATGACAACTGTTTGGGCTCAGAACATGTTCCTGTTAGGAATTTTGGGTTTTGTGATGGAAACAAAATGCAAAATGGCTTTCCTCATTTACCCTACTCTACTCTCTTGCTGACCAAGTATCCTGATGCATTTAGTAATTGTGCCATGCCCTCTGCCAAATTGGAGCGAGGTGTTAGGTGCAATGGCCATAATTTAAATGGTATCTCTTGTTTACCGAATAGAGAACCAAGTAGCAGCAATGGAGTAGCCGATTATCAGGTGTTGAGGAGTCAAGAAGTAGAGCATTTTAGCATAGATATGAGGCGGGAGCAGGAGTTATATGCTGAGATGCAAAGAAGAAACAGGTTTGATGTGATTTCAGGTATACAACAGCAAGGAAGAGGGATGGTTGGAATTAACCTCGTTGGAAGAGGTGGGGTTCTTGTTGGAGGCCAGACTTCCGGTGTTTCAGATCCTGTGGCAGTCATCAAAATGCAGTATGCTAAGAAACAATTTGGTGCACAGAACATCATCATAGAGGATGATTCTTGGAGAAGCAAAGGGGATGTAGGCAGGTAGCAAAAGTGGAGATGGGGCAAAATTTCTTATTTTTGCCTTGTGTATATTAGTTTTGTTTGAATTAAGCAGTGTTAGGCATTGGACAGTTTCAAATCCATCTTTTTGTTCAGAGGATTCCTAGGTCTGTAACGTTGCGGCAGCTTTGTATTTTTTGTATTTGATGGAAATACAGAAATAAACTGTCATGTGATTGGGAGGAGGAATTTCTGTAAACTGGATGTGATTATGTTTTGTCTGAAAACAGAACTTATGGACAATCACCATTAACCTGGAAGAGTTGAAGTTCTGAAAAGCTTCACATTTGTAAGAGGTGTATCCCATTTAATTATGTCATTATTTTGACAGTGCTTCCAATTCCCCAGTTTTTGCGTTATGATTTTATCGATCTTGCCTCTGAAATGTTGGATAAGTAACTGTGCCCAGTGTGATCCTAAAGAAGGAACCTACCTGTTAGGTAATGACAGCATTCGTGTTCTATTTATTTTGGTATACAATAAACCTCAATGAACCATACGTTATTTGATCACAAGAAATTATAATACGTGTATTCTTGTAAGTGCTTGTGAATTAGACCAAGGTAGATTTTTGTTGAAAACTAACTCCCCCCTTCCCATCTTCAAGACAAGGATTATCAAACTAGTACAAAATCAAGACTCTCTCCGGGGGGATAGTGTGTGTTAGGACAATTCTCTTGGCACGTTTGATAGTGTGGACTAGGTCATATTTAAGAAGAAAAAGGTCAAATGGAAATAATATTTGTACGTGTTGTAATTTTTACAGCCCTCTCACAAATATGGGGCTCACGATTATTTTAATCGTCAACTCCACCCTATATGTGAGAGGATTATCAACAATAATGTCAAATGTGATGTACTTGTAGCACTTCTCAAGGTTAAAATCTTCCCCCATTTCAACCTGCAAGTTGCTGACTGACAGGTGGCGTGGATAGTAGGTTTGTATGGTTGGGTTGGAATGTTGACATATGTGTGTAACGAAGGATTCAACTTTGGTGGGACCCGAATTCAACGTTGACAAGGACTTTTCTGAAGGTAGCTTCTAGAGAGGTAGCAGTTGGCTGGGATTCCATTGGAGTGCTGTCTACATACAACTCACCCATGTTTAAAAAAATATCCAAATATGGGCAGCTGCTGCTGTCTGTCTTTAATATATTATTCCTATATTTTGCTAACGAGTCAAAATTTCTCCTTCTTGCAGTAAGAAGTCGTCATTAGTTGGAACAAAATGGTGCCGTTTTGCCAATATCTCTATAAATAATATTATAGCCGAAAAGTCAAAGTGTAAGATTAAAGTTTCCAAGTTGATAGATTAGTTTTAAGTGGAGAATAATTTACGTTGGTTGCGTGCATACTCGACTTCTAAAGAGAGAGATTGATGATCTGTTATACATCTTTTCTCTAGCAAGAAATTACAACAACAATGCCCTTTCACGTATTTAAGAAATACTTCAAAATTACTGATTTTTTCCCAATTCGTTCGATTAATTTTTGAAAACATATTATCAGGACGAAAGATAGGATACGATTAGCAATGACTAGTTTGAATGATTTAACATACAATAACAAGTAAAAGAGGATGAAATAATGATTTTTGCACCATACAAAAGATGAACTATTCATATAAAATGTCTTCCTACATAAACTGACGTCATTATGGACGGGACCCCTTGCTATTAGTGATTAAATCTTAATATTCATTTCCACACTAGTCTAGTATTAACCAACTAATCTAAATTTATTGCAAATATTATTCCAACTCCAATGTTTTTTTTTTTAATTTTATAATAAGTTTAGAACAAAACAAATATCCTTTGAAAAGCAAGTTAAATCCACCAGTGACCACAGTTCTTTATACTTAGTGTTACCATCCCTCTTCAATTTGATTTAGTTTCACCATGATCAATCAATTTAATTTAACATTTCAGTCAAGCTATCGATTAAAGAATCGTCATTAATTTAACGAAAAATATTACGTGGACTAACAGTTTGCTAACATGTCAATTTAATATATCCAGATGTATCCAAATAAGTAAATAACGGTATTTTTTTTTTTTTTTGGGCCAAATGGGTCTTAATCACTTCTCTCCATTTTCCCCCAAAATTCTCTCCCCACGACAATTTCTCTCTACTTTCAGCCCTATCTCAAAATACTTCTCACCAACATTGATTCGCAAAGTGAAGGAGGAGAGGAACCCACCAACAAGAGTTGTTTTATCCTCTTTCTTCAGGGGTCTAAGAATGACAGACAATAGGGGATCACTATATGGTTGGTGATTTTATCGAATCTCTACGCTTCTTGTTTATCATTCTAATTTTGTCTCCTTTTGGGCATGGTGAAATCTTTATATAAGTTCAAGAAATCTCCTTTAATATCATTTTAAATCTTTGTTGTTAGGTCCATACGAAGTAGCTCACAACCAATATGAACCTAATGACGGAACTTTGGACGACTTAGAATATGAACCTGAAGATGGTAACTTTCCTACCCAGAAGTTCCTTTTGTTCCACCTATAACTATTTTGGTTGATTATTGAATAATATTAGTTCTTGATTAGAAAGATGAATAATTTTTTTGCTAATTTCAGGTGAAGCAAACCATGATGAAACTGCATCAATTGCTGAAACTTTTCATGATCCAGATTACGACCTTGAAGACGGTGGTGATGATTTGTTTATAAAAAATGTACATGAAGTCGTGGGGGAAGAAACATTACCGAGCAATATTGGAGGCAGTGATATTATGCATTCAAATGAAGAGGAATATTGTGATTCAGAAGAAGGTGAAGGAATGCAGCATCCAGAATTCATTGCTGAGAAGGATATGAAAAATTCACAATTCGTTACTGGTGAGAAGGATTTTGTGGTAGTGTTGAAAGAGGAGAGAATTCTTTAACGGGGTGACTTGACTGAAATGTTAAATGAATTGGGTGACCACAGTGAAACAAAATTAAATTGAGTGACCATTGGTGGATTTAACCCCTTGAAAAGAACTCCGAAATATTTGTCATAATTATAATGTATTCTTTCTTGTTCAAGCTTCAGTTGTCATTGTCAGCTATAGATATTTAGGACAATCATTTTAGTATTGTTTGGTAACACTAAATAATTTCAATTATAATTAATACACTTGTCCTCTCTGGTCGACCGACGGATAACCCTATTGAGACATGCTTGCCCTAACGTTGTTGCACAAGGTTACTCTTTGGGTCGACAACTATGTTGCTTTGATTAAAATTATTCTATGGCAATTTCCACAATTATAAATTTATAAGCCTCTACTCAATCCAATGGTGTCAAACTACTCGAAAAGTTACAATATTTTAAATTAAAATATTCCAGCCCTAAACCACTTAAACCTCGTCACTAACCTTGTGTGATTGCTTTTGACTCTTCTTGAGTACGGAGAATGGATGGCAGTGATGCAGTTATATCAATGACCTTCAAAATAAAGGGGAAAAAGATGAAATTTCAGTTGCATCCAACTTCTGAATCATGAAGGAAACTCATGTGGTTTGGCTGTGTACTTGCTACAACCACAATACATACATTATTCACTGCTCAATAGAACATTTTTATGGTCAGAAATAGAAAATGAAAGTGAAAATAGTCTGATGTTTAAAATATGATATAAAAGTTAATTATGTTTTGAAAAATACATTTTAAGAAATCAAATAAATGTTAATTATATGTAATTTAAAATATAATGAATGTCACAGACTCCATCTTCAGGATTGCCTAAGCTTATCGGTTGTTTTAGAAAGTAAGTGAACACAAACTGTGGGAGGGACACGAATGTGAAACTTGTAAGCAGAACTTGAATAGGCATTTTATCAATTCAGAGGCATAAATCTTCATTAAAATGCGTAAGCCATTGCCGGGTGATAAATGGCACTTCTGAAACCTACCTCATTCGTGATGGGGTGAGGGAAAACTGAACGATGTGCATGCAAGTGGTATCCACAGTCTCCAGGAACAGGATTTCCAGGCCTCTGATACCCTCTAAACCAAAAACACAGTGTACAATTAGTTTCCATTAATCTATAAAATGATTTCTGAACTTTTTATATAAATAACCAACAGTTCTGCTTATTAAGAAATAAGAAATAGGAAGGCAGGATTTATACCCATCATGAGCAAGACTTTCATCTGTGACGTGAGGATCAAAACACTTTGGCTGTCCACCAGCAACATAAAGAGGATCGCCTGCCAAGCAGTGATAAATTATGATCAACCTATGACAGCGCCAAAATCAAAACAACTATTTGCACTTCAAAATTGTGCAGTTTGAATAAATTCATATTACACGGAAACCCACATGTACGATTCAGTTTTAGCAGGATTTAAAGCCACTTGAGTTCAGACAAGTTATGAAGCCGTTGTCATCCCAATCCTGACCTAATCCAACTATCAAGTACAACCCAAAAATAACGGGAGTATATTTTTCATTAGTTTCGGGTTACTAGAAAGTATTGAAATGTCTGTTCCAGAATTGGTTCATGTAGCTAAAGCAACATAAGGTAACTTGTAGAGTGTAACGCTATGCATATATTCTTAGACAGATTATCATTGTAGAAATAGATCGTTCCCTGAAACTTCATCATGTTCAAACAGTTCTATATGCATCAAGTGTTTCCTTGAACACATCGCAATGTTTCCAGTAAAAAGAATAAAATGGTAGAAAACAATGAATCTTGTGTATCACTGAATTCTCATTTACAGTATTGTTCAACAAAATTACAACACATGCTGGCAAATGACATGACGGAGAGAAGTTTTTTCTCTTGAAATTTTTACTTTGATTCGGGCGTCAAGTAATATGATTGCATTTTAGAAGGGGGAGACAATAGATATTGTATGCTATATATATTCCTGGGGCATGGAAAAAGGAATTTTTGACAATGATTGAACTTGTATTTATGCTTTCCTTTCTACAAATGACTTCTTTCATTAGAATGATGAGTTTCTTGAAAAGAAGTTCAAAATTTTTGAAAACCTGATTAAATTATGTAATCTTCATGTGCAAAGAATACATAGCACCAAGAATAATGCTGATCTTCGTTATAAAACGACCGAGAAGTTTCAGCTTCCCTTAAATTCTATAAGAAACAGAACGACAGTTTTACCTGATTAAATTCTATATATTTTGACAATATAACATAAGAATGCAGTTTTGCTGTTTGAGAACAGACAGAAAGAATCACACTGTAGCTAAATAACATACAATGATAAGAATGAAAGCCTCTTTTGAGTGCATGGAGATAATGAATTCTGTTATTTCTAGGCAGAAGTGATGTTATATCAGAAGAAAAATGTGAACTTTCAGACTTTACCTATCAGTGGGTGTCCAATGAAAGAAAGATGAATGCGGATTTGGTGTGGTCTCCCAGATTGGATCTCAACCTGTTAAATGTGGGAAATCAAAAGGAAAAGAAAGTTACTATCGCTTTTTACGATTAGATAGATTCCTCAAACAAAACATAACTGCTTCCAGATGCTGATCATTGATAAATCTCACCACTTCATACAAATTGATATAAAAATTTTAGTTTGAAAGGCATGAAGAAATTTATGAAGTGAAAAGGAGTTCAACTCGCAAATCACCCTATTCGTGTTGTTATCACACAAACTATTAGATTCTCTCAAATTACAATGACAAGAAGTTATCAACTGTCAGGCCTACATAAACTCGATAAGAAATTTTTGACGGATCGTTTAATAAATAGAACTAAGAATAACAAACTTCATTCCTAGTACAACTGGGGCAGACGACTAAGTTTAGCAGGCACGTAAGTATTATCCAAATACCTGGATCAAGGTACAATTGCTGTGCATATTTCTCTCAAGAACATCAACCCTGCTGAAAGAAGGTTTCCCTGAAAATTGGAGAAGTGGGGGAGAGAAATAAGTAGCCTGATAGAAATGAAGAAATTATAAATGATAAAGGAAATAGAACACGTGATACCAGTGTCATGCTACATAAAATGACACAAGTTGTCAAACCTGAAGGAGAAGCAACATACAACCCCTTGGCTACACCAGGATATCTGACCTGCCCAATGGGCTGCTCAACGGTAACCTACCATGCAATAAAAAGCTATTTAAATATGCAACAGAAAAGTGGAAACAGCTTTGACAGCTTGATGTGTAGCAGAGCATTGCAGATGATATATGAGGTTCAATAGATCAATGGTAAAAGGAAGAGGAAGAAAGAAAAATGCAGAGGAAAAAAGAAAATGCTGTACTAGTATTACCTCGTCCTCATTGATTACCCCCCTTGCTAGGGCTCGATATATCTTTGTAATTTTCCTCATTGTATTCAGCTCTGAATTGGAATCTCTGCACAAATAATGACAATATATTGTGTCTTAACGATATCTTAACATAGAAAAGCATAACAGGCGTAAGTCAATCATCTTAATATGATATCCTAGGAAACACAGTACTAATGTGAACAAGCACTCTTAACATAACAGTGACCCCAGCTAGCTTTGAACAGATAACATGTGTATTAGGCTGGTCAGATTTATCTCACCAAAGAAAGGGGACTTGGGATCACGATTTACCAATTGAAATGGAGAAAGAAAAGTATATTTTAAGGAAATACTACCAAATCTTACTTTGGGATTTTGTAATGCTTGAAGGAGTTTAAAAAAGAAAACAGTGCCTGGCCTGATCTATTTTAGCACAATTTTTACAGCATGGCGATTCACATGAAATGGTCTGCGTTCATGCAGAATATGCTGAAAACTGAAGCATGGAAGACTTGTGACTAGTATAATTGAACTCGTGGTGGAATTCCAATACATGCACATCTTACAGCAGTATTATCTACAATGACAAATTAGTGTGTGTTTGGGAGTGCTTTTCTAAAGCTAATAAGCGCTTTTCATTAAAATTACGTATGTTTATTAAAGTCAACAACTGCTAAAAAAAAAAAGAAAAAAAAAAGCACTTTGCCCTGCTGTTTTAGAGAAGTTCAAAAGCTCTAAATTCATCTTCTATGGGAGTCTGAAATCTATATTTAATGGAACTTTTAATATTCATGGGAGGCTGAAATCTATATTTAATGGAACTTTTAACATTCCAAATATAGCCAGATGAAAGATAAGCACTGATTGCATATCTTCTATTGCTAAGTAGCACTCACATGTTGCCGGAGCCAGTGTGTCGGTGTCTCACACATAATACACCGGCATGCGCCGGACACGCTCTGGACACGTGTCGGAAATGGAGGTGATGCATGCCCCTTCTACAACTGCATAATGGATCAAGTTCTTGTCACTGTGATGGCATCTGTGGAAGATAGTACGATTTGGGTTGGGTATAGGTAAGAGAAGAAGATGAGAGAATCTGTGAAAGTGAAAGAGGAGAAAGAACTATGGAAGAGGAAGCGGCGGGGCAGTCGGGAAAAAAACCCTAAAGCAATATGTTTTTAAGGGAAGTGAAATGGGGGCCACCACTTTAAGGTCAGATAGAATAGACAAGTACAATATATAAAACTTCCTGTGTTTCCAATAAGTGTTTTGAACTTTTGAAAGCCCTCCCAAACATACACTAAACTATCTATATACTATATGTGCCTTTGTCTCACTAGAAATAGGGTCACCTATTTAAATTGAATAGATCATGGGTTTTCTTTTCAAACCTAAAACTGAATTGAAAACCCAGGCAGTTGTTCTACTTGCTTACGTTATGAACAAAAATTCGAAAACTAAAATTCAAAATCTCTACTCACAACAGCCGTGCCAAACAGAACCTTTTAATCATTTTGGCTACTGTCTGAAGCTCCTACATTTTTCCATGGTTAATGGTTGACCCAGGTAGTGATTGGCAAACAAAAATTAATTATTTTATTTTCTTGAACTTTGCAAATGAAAAAATATATATATAAATCTCTTGTATACCATATATGTATTGTCAGTTTGTTTCCTCAATGTTTGTCTTGTGCTGCCTAAAACTTAGAGTTGTACATACACAAAAAGCGAAAGAAATGTGAATTAGAAAGTAGAAGTAACTAGGGATGAAAAAAGCTCCAATTCCTGTATACTATACTAAAGGATATGTTTGGTAGTGCTTATAAGGTGTGGTTCCTAAGTAATGTGTAGATAATAAGTGAGTAGTAAGTTGCGGGTCTATGAAATATGTGGATAAAAAGTATGTTTGACATGCTTAAATTTAATTTAAGCTTTGCCAAACATGCACCAATTTGTTATTAATTATTTCTTCATTTTTACGATAAGTTGCTTAGTGATCTATAATGTTGCATAGACTCCACACCAGTCTATCAAACAAGTTCAGTGGGGGCATTTTGATGGCTATATTCAGAACTAATTGTTCAACCATTTTCCAAGGACAGAGACATTCAGATCGACGTAACTAATTACAACTTTCAGGAGACTCGGGCAATACGGATAGACAATAACTCGCCAGCAGCTAACTAAAATGAACTTATATGACAGAGTATGTCAGTTGAGGAGCAACATTGATGCTGAAAAGTTAAATTCTTGAAATTCTCGGAAGATTTATGCCTCTATCAAGATTTTCCACTTGGTTGCTTCACAAACTATTATTTTTCCAGACTTAAGCCTCCTATGAAACTACTCCCCATTCTTCTATAATAATGCAACCAGCCAGTGGTTGATGGCATGTTGCATTTCCCACCATAACAGAGCAGTAGGGTAACAGGTAATTAGCAGCGTCCATATCTTAGTTATAAAGGAACCATGATACATGATCCCTCAACTTTCAGAAGGTCCAAAGAATATTGATAGTCCCACAGTCCAGATTACCTACCAAAGGCGCAACAAAGGGGCAGGGGCAGAAAAGGAAATGCAGGGAGAAAGAAGGCCACATGCACAGTTACGTAATCTGTTGAGAGAATGATCTAGAAGAAGAGCAACCTATAAATAAGGAGAGTCAATTCCAGTGAAAGTAGGTATCCAACAGGACAAGGTGAGTCTCGTGGTGGGGAGTAATGATAGACACACAGTTCAGATTACCTACCAAAGGCGCAATGAAGGGGCAAGGGCAGAAAAAGAAACGCAGGGAGAAAGAAGGCCACATGCACAGTTACATAATCTGTTGAGAGAACGATCTAGAAGCAGAGCACCCTATAAATAAGGAGAGTCAATTCCAGTGAAAGTAGGCAGAAATTGGTATCCAACAGGAGAGTAGTGGACCTCCCGAAAGTTCACATTTATATCCTTGTTATTCCTTCTTTTAATCAGTTCTTTGTATTCTGGATCTGTTCTTCATATAACAGATCTATACCAGTGTAATTTCCAGTGCATTGATGAAATATTATGCTGTGTTTCAGCTCTCAATTATCTTAAAGTGTGTCAAATAAGCTGGAATAGGGTTCTATCAAATATCTTCTTACTATCCTAACAAGGATGTTCAAACAAGCTTAAAAACCAATGTCTAACATAATGCAAACCTTATTTAACTCAAGAATTTAAAAAACAAAAATGAATTACCAATCTAATCATCACAACAATCAGTAGGCGACGGACTCACCGGAAGTCGAAAAAAGAAATGTGGATGGATAAGGAAACATATTCAATAATTTATTAAGAAAGGATAGAAAGATTTGTTTTTCACTTACCTGCTGACGCCAACAACTGACGTTCCATCGGCGAAGTATGCTGCAAGACGAGATTTTGCAAGCTTTGTCTTCGCACAAAGTAATATTCCTAGCTCCAAATAGAAAGGCATTTAAATTTCGTTTATACAGGCCCAGGGTCTTCAGAGAATCACAAACTCCACAAAGATCGAAATGGCATTTACAGGAAGAGAACAAAATGTGAAGTGCATTATGAGCACACCTATTGCACGTATATTAAGGCCCCGTTTGATTCTCATTTTTATCAAAATACATTTTTCTTTCTCTTCTTTTTAACCATACATTCTTCATTAAAATAATATTACACGTAAATAAAAAAACTTTTCCTTATTTTTCATCCACACATTCTCTCCATCAATCTACTATTCTAAAATTCATTTTTTCATAAAAATAGGACTCAAACACCCCCTAAGGTTCAATTGTATAAATAGCCTTTCAATTAGATAGATAAAACAATGACTTTGATGGAAAAATACAATTTTACGCATAGTTTTCAGACAAAACAATAAGAATTCAACTTAGTTTTTCAGCTAATAGTTTTGAATTTATGGAATTGAGAACAGAATCTATCACAGGTTATCTTCCTTTGATAAATCTAAACTTTTTTTTTTTAAATAAAATAGTGAATCAATACATTTTTATTTTCATGAAACAGCTAGAGAAAACATAAAAAAATTTGGAAAGCAAATCTAAACGTAGCCAAAATCCACAACATAGAACGAATTCAGCCCTGGTTTAACTATTCTTTTTGATAATGAAGTAAAGATAGAAGTACTACCGTAACAGCTCAAAGAATGAAGTTTATACATTCTGCTAGCCAAAAAAATCTCGTGTATTTATAAATACTAACCTGATGTGCCCCTTCCAAGTCGATGAACTGGAACAGGATGCGGTTCTTGACATGCTGATGAGGAGGTCAGCTTCCGTGAACGCCATTGAAGTTGTGTCAGGACAGTCCTCTGCTGGAACAGGCCTCCAGGTAGAACTTGTAAACCCGAAGGTTTATTTACAGCTATCTGAACACATTAGCAAAATTTAACATGCCGTCATATAAAAATGTGATTTATCAATGAAATGGATATATATCTAATAGATCCACTACAATATTTCTGTCTCTAGTTATTCCATTTTCAATATATGAAGAAACCACTTATTTTATAATGCCTCATGACCCGAAAATGTTCTGAGGTATGAATAGGAATATTAATAGATAACACAATTTCTGCAAGAAGATTTCTTCTGCATTTTTCCTGATGTCCATGTTCATTCTTTTAAGAGGGACGGGAAGTGAGAAAGAAAATTCACGTAAATGTTCTTCCATAAAGAAACAGGCCATTCCTTTACTTCTTTCTTTTTTCTACAAAACTGTTTCCCTAATTACACAACGAATAAACTAACTTTGAAGCTCGAAATAATTTGGAAATAAGCCTCATTACCTTTTAGATAAATTACTTTCGATTGAACATTACCATGACTTGTGTGAAATGTTGAATCAAATATAACATAGACACGAAAATGTTTCTACCTACCAAGTCATCATCTTCACATAGAATTTCAAGCAAGTGAGGCGCATCGGGCTCTTGCCAGGGAAGCCGATAATATATTAGCTCCATACCTTCCCTATAAAGGATGAAAGCAAAATTGTAAATACTAAAGTTAGTAATGAATTTCAAGTGCACGAAACTCTGGGTATTGTAGTAATTGTTACATAGAGAGAGCGATTTCAAAAATTAAACCTGAGAATTGTATCAGGATCTGTAACAGCATTGCCATCAATAGTTATCTGCTTATTGTGAATTCTCTGCAACCAACTGCACAATAATCAGTATCCAACATTACACGTACAAGCATGTGTTCATGTGGAGTTATGTACTTAGCATGTTTGGCTAAGCTTAAAAATTTACTTACCAGTGAGTTAACATGCAAGTAATAAGTAAGTTTTAAAACAATTAAATTAAAGCATTTGTCACAATTGGAAATAAGTTACTTGTGGATGTAAGAAAAGAGTTAGAGCATGTTTAGGTGTGCTTAGAAGCCCTTAAATTATTTATTTATTTTTTATTATTAATTTTTTTTCTAAAAGCATCAAGCACGCTGTCAAAAAATTATTACTTTCAAAATGGAGAATATTTACGTAAGAAAAAAGTAGCTTTAAAAAAAAAAAAAAAAAAAACCTTACTTTCAAGTAAATTCTACTTTTTTTAAGCTTAGCTAGACATAAAACAAAAACACAAAAAGCTTAGCCAGCCATAAAACAAAAACACAGAAAGAGAAAGCAAATTTTTTTCCTGAAATGGGTTCAAATTAATTGCAGAGAAAATGAAATTGAGGTTGAGGTCAAGTGCTACTGCTAATCGTGTCAAATTTCTCGGGCCATTAAAAATATGTCAATATGATTAAGTATTATTACCCTAGAAAAGGAGCTGAATTCTTGTACTTTTTGGAGTAGAATTCGATCAGCGTCAAGCCTGTAGAGTCAACAAAAAAAAAAAGGTCAATAAACAAATAAATAGATATATAATCTTTATGAATGCATACAACATGCGTAAATGTGTACCGGAATCAGATGATCGGATGAGGTCCCGGTAATGGAGTCCGTCATTAAATTCCGGCCAAGGCTCCCCAAATGACTGCATTATGGCCTCGGTTGAATAGGAGGTGACCAGAGAGGAAGTGATGCAATTGGACCCCAAAACAAACTTAGAGGTGGAGTTGTGGGCTGGGCCAGAACCACTCTTCGTTATAGGCCCGGCCTGGTTCAAATTTTTTTTTCTCACAATCACTGTGGACCGTTCCATTTTCCCAATAAAAATGTAGGGATTACATCGAATCCGCCCTGATGGGAACTTCTGGAAGCTGGACCGGGATAAATTTAGGTCAAGATGGAGATTAAAATATTTTTGTTTATCGTCCTGATTATGACTTTGCTAGACATATAGAATTGGAGACAAAATTTAAAAAATAGGGACACGTGTCAAATATTAATTAGACAATTTTCCTAGTTATTAAAAGAAAATAATTTGCATGCCGTTCATTAAAAAAATGAAAAGTGTAAATATCTCGAGACTAAGCTCTTATTTGGTAACGATTAAAAATAGATTTTTAGTAAATTTTTATAAAAGTTAATGTAATATGTAGTTAAAAAATTGTGAGTCCTATGAAATATATGTTAAAAATCAATTGTTAACTTTGACTTAAATTTTAATTATTTTTTTTAACGATACCAAACATGGACTAATTTGAAGATCGTTAGTTAGGCCAGGTGTTCTTTTTCCCTCTCTTGAGCTAGGAACAAAAATCAAGGTTACGAATCATGCCGACAATGATGCATTCTACCATCGAGTTAAAAGTACTTATTTGATTTGATTTTCCAACAAGTCGCCATGTAGGTGAAAATGACTAAATAACTATGAAATACATCGAATCTCATATAAATGTTTCTTCTACGAATGATTTCTTTCAAATATAAATTTCAAATAAGTCAATACCTTCACTTATAAATATAATATAAAGTACTCATGCACAAAAAGATAATCATATATTTTAATCCTTGTTTTGTAGAAATTCTGAGAATATATTTTATTAAAAACGACCTTTTTGAAGAATTTGCGGTTAGAAGTAGAAACAAATTATGAATCATGAGCAAAATTATTTTATTGAAAAAAATATATAATTGAAAATGAATTTGACAAAGAATGAAACTAGGAAAATGGGGTCAGGCCAAACGGGGGCTTAATAACCTGAAAGATCATTCAACGTTTCTCATCCAAATTCTCATTTCATAATTGTTGTGTAAATCAGATCAAAGTATAAATTACAGCACACAAGAAATATTTTATCCACCTCTTAATTCTCAAATAGCTGAAAATTTTTTACCAAGAAAAACAAAAAAATGGTAGAACATAAATTTTCGACCATCTTACACAGCAGAAAATGAGATCAAACACACAAACCATCATCAGAAGACGTCTGCAGACGAAGAAGACACAGTAACATGCAGAGGATTAGTTTTCCAATCAACAATCTCGCTACAATGTCCGCCTCTAACTCCATCCACGGCCAATGAACTCGGCCCACAGAATGAAGTTTCGGCAAGAACCAGTTTTTTTGCAGCAATTGTCTTCAATCGATACCTCTCAGCCCTAGAGCCGATAACCTGTCCTAGAATTGATGCTGCAATGGTGAATGCCATGGCCATCTTAGGCATTAACACCGATTTTCTAAGCATACCTATAACCTATGAATGGCACGGCTGCATGGACAGCGGCAAACCACGAGGGGGAGAATTTTTCTGTGTGTTCTCGCCATATTCCTAAAGGTATATTTGCTGCCATGCCTAAAACGCCAATAACAAATACATTTGCAGGCAGAGACTGAGGTCGGAGATTTTTTGCGAAGGCAGTTTTTGATATAGCACTTCTAGCGGCAACCACTGCTGGAGGGCACTTAAATTTCATTCCAGGACGGGACTGAAGAGCCTTCGCTTCAAGAGGAAGGACATGACTCACAGCTCGGTATGACTTTGCAATAGGGCAATTCCCATTTGCAACCACTCGTCACTCATTGCCTCATGCTCTGATTTTCCTCCCTGAAAGAAAGGAGTAACCATCAAGATACAAGAGAAAGATATGTTTACTTATTTTAACATTTTGTTCAATTATCAGCATCAGTAGCTTATACGCTATAGGATGATAGAATTTCGAGCTATTTCTAGTTTTCTATAAAGCCTCCTAGATTTTACGAGTGAACTCCAGAAACTTGGGAATTGGATATGTTACCGATAATGCAAGAACTAATTTTTTTAATCATGAATGTAAATTTCGAAGACATCCCAATTGCTTAGAACATAAGTTGCAATTACCTTTGAAGAAGACTCCTTTTTGGACGAATTGAATTTCTTATTTTTATTCTTCCACTTCTCAGAAAATGCATCAAACCCAAAAGGGCCCCCAGGACCAAACGATGAGAGACTGATAGAGGCTGCCTTTGCTGCCAATGGATTGAAGTGGGTTGGTGCTGATTCAGAACGAGACTTCTCAACAGCGATAAATGATTTTCCAGAAAGTGGGACTACTCCATTTTGCCCATGAAAAAGTCTGAATGCCGTATCAAAATTGGGACCATCCTCAAATATTGGACCTTTCCTGTCCTGAACCTGACACGAGCAAGACAGAACACCACAAGGGAGACTCTCAGTATAACATGGTTTGAAAATCAGTGTCCAGCACTATACATTCCACACTACCAAACAAGCCACGTATAGGATATGCGAAAAACAAATATCCAACTTACGGGCATTGGGAAAGCCATTGATGTTGAAAAGGAGAAGTTGGTAGGTTCATTGATGCTCCGCATAAACGGACACCTAATAATGCCCTGATCTAATGATGAATATTCTTCTTTCAAGTCCCTCGAGAAAAACTCCATTCTAGTATAACAACCTGCACATAAATGACACGTTTTAAACAGCAGAATGCGATATGGAGCTTTAATTGATAGCAACAAAACTAAGAAATAAATGGTGTGCGAGATGAAAAACATGGATGGAAATGTATAACTCAGACGTGTTAAAGCCAAATACAATTATAGCCCAAAATTTAACAGTTTCCTTGGATAAATGATATGAAAGGGAAACAGGGTAAGATGCAAACTGTTAACCATTAACAATTACTAAATGTAAACAAAATAATGAGAAAAATACACACCTTTAGGCATATCTGTGTCAAAATGGAGACAAAATCCTTTTGTATACTACAAGCTAGATGCTTTGAAAATGATTCAAAGAGAATATCATATACGTTTCCAAATGCTAATTAGTCCGAAAAATTGAGAAATGGGGTCCTAGGTGTTTGCATGCTCAAAGCAATTAAGAGAACTAATATCACCAAAGTTCAGCAAAAATGAGAATATTTATTTATATAAGCAAGGGATGAAAAGTGAAAATAACCTCCTAAAAAATGAAATATATGAAATATACAGCCATCAACATCGAGAAAAAACACGCAACATATAATCATATTGTGCTGCTAGCTCATCTTCAATTAATTACTACCAAAAAGTTTAGCAACGAAAATTCTGTAGGCATGGATAGAGATTCAAATGATCTGCCCAATCACCTTACTATGCTCTGCTTAAACCTATAGCTAAAAACTTGATAGAAGTCATTTGCAACTATTAACTAAAATAATAAAACCCCTTATACTTGGAGCAATTCAATCATTTTTACCAAACTTTTATGCTTAATGATAAGTGTGTTTTTGCACACTTAACATGGCTTAATTACGAATAAAATGATTGAATTGTGACTTAATTTCGTTACATTTGTGAATTGTAGGTAACACTGATGAACATGGTGAAATACATGAGAAAAGACGCGAAAAATGACTAAAATGACACAAAGTGAAAGTCCAAGGACCAAGGTGCAATTACCCAAAAGTTGACCCGATGAACAAATCAAGAAATTGAGTTTGCCAAATACAAATTGATGACATTTTGGGATGATGGAATGTGAAGAATGAAGAAAAAATACAAAGAAGTGGAAGACTCAAGTAAAAGGACCAATTTGCAGGAAATGAAAGTTTAATTCTACCATGCGGTCGCATGGTAGAAATGTCGTGCGGCCGCACGAAGTGATGTAGGGAATTCAACTGGGGAAAAAAGAATAACCATGTGACCGCACGGATTAAAACCATGCGATCACATGGTACATTTACAGTGCGAGTTTTTTCTTTCCTTATACGATTGAAACACATATGGTAACCTAATTTTTCACGGGATATAAATCTCAAAAACATTCCATAGATGCCCAGAACGTAATTGGAGGCTGAAAAACAACTCTTGGAGAGGATTTGAGCACAAGAACAAAGATTGGCATGAAGAACTTCAAGATTTATTCAAGTTTTATAACCCGGTGATGTCTTTTATACAAAAGATGATGTATTTTGTTATTTTAATCATGCTAGGCTAGATTTTTCTTATACTAGGAGATCGATGAACCATGTGATTTAAATTTTAATATTCTAGTTTTGCAATTTGATGTTAAGACACAATTTTTATTATTTTGAATGATTTATATGCAATTAATGTTTCCGCAATCAAGGGCTCGTAATTGTGTGAATTTAAGTGATTTATTTTTGCATTCGAGAGAATTGGAATATATTTAACATAATATAAATTATCGTAGGGTCCGATAGTGGATAGAAATATATCTCTACGCCCTACGTGAATCTTTAAATGTTCATAAAACCGCATACATTTTTACATATGCTCTTGTCATAGAAATATAGATCGGTGGTATATAGAGATAGGTTTGATACATCTCGAGAGAGAGTATTGGATAGACTTAGGAACATTGATTCGTCAAAATTGAAATGTGTTGTCATATTGTGAAATTACGGTTTAAAGTGATAATTGCATGAGAATTCGTGATCCTAGCGTATTTCATTCCTAATAATTATAACAGTGCGTTCTCAACTTTTAGATTTCATTCTAGAGTTTTAAATTATTGTTTTGCATATTAATTTCAATTTAATCATAAAAAATTTGCATAATTGAGGTTCAATTAGGTCTACATTCACTTTGGTAATTTAGTTTCGGTTAATGCTAAGGTAGGTAAAATTTGAACTAATCAATCTCTGTGGGACGATATTCGGACTCATTGAATCCACTTTATTACTTGTTAATGAATCGTACACTTGCGGTGGTTTAAAATCGAAAGAAATAATTTCGCAAATACTTAACCTAATCATTCATCGATTTCTTGCTAATTTCTTTAGTCCTACATTTTCCTGTTTTAGGTGCCAAATCATAGCCTAAAAAATTAATCTATATTTCCTTTTTCTTGTTTTTCCTCTCTATTTTCTGTTGATCTTATGGCCCAAAATTTAATATAAAAAGACCTATAAAAACAGAAAATACACACATTCTTAATATGCATAAAGTATGAATAAACTTATATCAAGAGTCCCAACAAAAAAAAAAGTTGAAAATAAATAAAAAGACAGATTTTTTCCCCTAGTTGACTCTCAAAAAAATTTAAAATTCAAGACTTCTTTTTAACAGCACATATCAAAAGTCTATTCACGGCATTATCGGAACAATTATCAACAAACAAAACCCATGCATCCAAAATTAATGAAATGACGAGAACTCAAACATCTAACACATAAATTTAGGGATTAAGATAAGATAAACCCATACTTTAAAATTATTCGGTGTTAAAATCCAAAAGAGAGATTTGGTCCAAAACCTTGAGCAATTTGAGATCCTGTTAAAGAGAGAGGGAGAGAGAAGAAAAAAATGAGATGAAAAATTGGAGTATAAGTCAATAGGAGATTAGTTGGGAAGGAAAGAAAAAAAAGATGGTATCTTTGTAGAGAGAGAAAGGGCCAGTATACAAAATTGCCGTGCTGACCACAGGCCAGGTACAAGACAAGTCACCCACTATCCAAACGCCAATTTTGATTTCGGACATGGTTTGACTCATTCTTCGTAAATTTCTCCGAGTCGATTGGAAAAAGAATTATGTAAAATGTACATTGCATCGAAATTCAAGAAGTGTTGAACAAAAAAGTGTATTTTTCTTTAAAATTATTTAGTCATATGTCGTAACGTAACACAATGCTAACCATGACATAAAAAATAATGTACATGTAATATGATTGATTGAGAAATGGGTCAACGTTTGGTAGCTACCTAGGCTTGTTTGTAACTGGCTCAATCTTGTATGTGCTCCAATAAAAAATTTGTCAAATTTAAAAAGGGAATAAGAAGGACGGATATGTTGGTACAAACAGTTATGGATCAAAGGAAATATAATGTCTTATTTTCAAGATAAAGATATGTGATAAGAGTGTCAAGTTAAAAAGACAAAAACACTTTGTAAGGAACAAAAAGGGTGAACATGTTACTTTGATGGGAATACCATGTCTTGATTTGTATGAATGTCAATAGGAAGAAGTTTACAGTGATAAATTTTGGACGTCAATCAAAGGAAGTTTATGATGATAATCTTTAGATATATCAAAAGAAAGAGCACTGTTACAAGGTTAAAAAATTCCATAAAATCAACATTTTGTATTTTTCAACTATATAATTATGATTTGATATGGCAAAAGACGAAAGTAGTTATGGGAAGGAGATAATAGAGAAAGGGAAACCAGAATGTGCTAGCTTGAGGCTTTGAGATTTGTTGGTTAAAGAAAATAGAAACACTGCTATAAGTACAGATTTTGTACAGGAAGATAAGTGTCTTCCTGGACAGTTTTAATTAAAAAAAACATGTACTTATAGAGTTATCCAAGGAAACATAATGTCTAGAATTGTGAACAAACTTGTACAATGCAAGATGTCAATTCATAAAACAAGCTTACTATAAATAGAAATGGATAACATGTTAGTTTTGAAGATCAAAAGGTTAAATGAAAGATGACAACTTGATTTGATGATGCAAGCATCAATTTCGGAACATTTTGGTGACAATATTTGACATCAAGTGAGAATGTACATAACAAAATATGTAAAATCAATACAATATATATCAAGAGTGTTGATATGACATAAGAATATATGTAAAATTAAAACTTTCCTTCTCAACAGTACAAATTATGATTTTAATGACTTGACATGGCAAGAATAGAAAGGGAAAGGGAAAAAGGAAAAGAGGGGATGAGAAATTACTTGTGGAAAGATTTTTATTATTATTTTTGGTTCTATAAGTGATTGAAAATAAGTTTTAAAAAATCTGTACCTAATGAGGACTAAATTTACTTTATTAATTAAACATATTCTTATTAAGTCTCCGTTTGGTTTTGATTTTTCATTCAAAAAAATCAAAATTTTGATCGTTATTTTTCTATGTCAGTCATCATTTTGACTGTTTCATTCATAAGTAGGACCCACCTTTCTCTCTAATAATCAAAAAATTGATTCTTAAAATCAGTACGGACACATGCCCTAAAACCTCTTCTTATCCAAAAAATTGTCCAAAAATGTCAGGTCAAAATATTTTTGATTAATCTTGCTTTTGAGGAGACCCATAGGTCTTCAGAATAGAAGCTAAAAGCAATTTTTGATCCCAAAAAAGTAGGATGTTAATTCACAGAGATAAATCCTCAATATGACTATGATACAAAATAATTAGTAATTGACATGATAATTTGTTTATACAAAGAAAAGAAACTGTAAACTAATTAGCCACAGGAAGTAATTTTTCCACGCCCACGGTTGGATTGCAACCAAACGACCTAGCCAACACGGTGGCGAAGTGGGATCTACCCTTCAACGACCTCAAAGCTCCCCAATAACTTCCATTCCTCTTCCCTCCACCGCCTGCTCCACCATTGACCGCCGTACCTTCCACCGGCAACATATTCACATTGTCCCGTCGGCGGCTCTGCCGTTGTTTGATGGCACTCAGCTCCATCTCAGGCTTAAACTTCACTGGTCCAAACATGAACATCCTTCTTCTCGACTTGGCCGACATGGACGTAAGTGAACTAAAATTCACCCTCTGAGCACGATACTCCGAGGCTCCTGATAAAGACCTTGACTGATAAAAATCTAGAGCAGAATTCGATAACCTGGTCGAATTTGATCTGTTCTTAGTGACAGGACAACTGTACTTTTCGTTGTTGTAAATGGAAGCTTTATGAAAAGAAGAAGTTTCAACTGTGGCCAAATAATCTCTCTTTTCATACTCATTGCAATCTCCTTCGTTTTTACCAAATGTAATATCAGTATTGGTGTCGGATTGGGAGGTGAATCCGGTAAAGAACTCGAAAAGTTGATCAATTTGAGCAGAAGAAGTTCCTGTTCTTGGGCTCGTATTCTGCTCATAATTGTCTGTTGGAAGATTAGAAAAAGAGAGTCTATCTTCTTCGTCTTCTACATTGTAGTATTCAAAAGTTTCTTTATGTTCCATTGTTGCGAAGAAAGTGAGATATCAAGAATGGAAGGGTTGTGGAGAGAAATGGTAGAAATTGGTTTGTATATAAGCACACCTAAACATGTGCAAAGAAAAAATGCCACAACTTCTAGAGGGGATGGTTAGTCAACTGCTGACCATGAAAATTATATATATAATTAATCAATATTGCAAAGACAGGCAATTAGCAAGGCCTACTAGAAGAGAAAAATGGGTCAAGCGGGAAGAAAGTTAATGGAAGAATAAGTAGATGAAAAATTCCGGAGTATGTGTTTGTCTAATATTAAGCATCCGTTTGGTATAACCAAAAATCATATTTTTAGTAATTTTGATAAAAATTGTTGAAATATGTAATTGAAAAATTGTGAATTCTATTATAAATTCTTTATAAAAAATGAGTAAAAAGTGGTCAAATAGGGGCAAAAATTATTTTTATTAACATGTCAATGTCAAATATTCATATTAAACCATACACGCACAACTAATGTCTATTTATTAACAACATATTTCATCGCACTCAATACCATTTCTTCTAAAAGTTACTAATTATTTTATCGGAACTCTATAAACAGATGAAAACTATATTATTATAATACATATAAAGTTTTTTAAGCCACCACCAGCAACACCAAATGCTATTTCTATTTGCCGCTGATTTTGTTACTTAGCAAAACGGGAAAAAATGTCGAACACGATAAGGAAAACTGAAAGAATTTTGCTATTTGTACACTGATTTTTGACACTTGCATTGTTGTCAAGTATTAATTGGATAGAAAAATGCTAGAAATTTAAAATATTTAATAGGATAATGTCATGTGGTAAAGTGTAAACTAAAGTTTACACCATAATGTACATATTGCAAGGTTCAAACTGAAAACAACTTTCCTGGTAAGTATAATATCCCAACAAAAACTTCGAATACAAATGGAATATTTGAAAATTATGAAAAAGAAAAAGAAGGGAAAAATTAAAAATAAAAAGGGGCATTCCGAGAATTGAACTCGGGACCTCTCGCACCCTAAGCGAGAATCATACCACTAGACCAAATGCCCGCTACATACCAAATTTTAATATTTAAAATTGGAAAAACCTTAGAAATCCGATTTGGGGTTTTAACTTTGAAATCGGGAGAATTTGGAGAGAGAAAAATGGCAAGAGCAGCTCTGCTTCATTTGGTGCGATCTCGAACCAGTTATCTCAAACACACAGGTTTTCAATCAGGTTCTTTTCCGCTCTCTATCAACACATTCATGTTCATGTGTGTATGTTTCTACTTTTCTTTTCGTATATTTTTATCTGTATTTGTGTATATTTGCTTGCTGTGTTCTGTTATTTCCTTATTTGTTCCGGAAAATCCATATTAATTTCTGTCTAATCTCGGAGGCTTATGGTTCTAGTTGTTAGGACGCTGATAATGTCAAAAATTAGAAGGAAAATTGAAGCCTTCTGCTACAACTTTGCGTTTTAAATGCAAATTTGTCTAGATGATACACGTTATATTAGTATTCCTATCAAAAAATTTAGATATTCTAGTACATTTATGTGCCCACACGGCCTTTTGTCAGAAATTAATGGAGCATTTGGATGGTCAGAAATGTCTTTAAAATCAGCTTATAAGCAAGGGAGCGTTTAACTGCCACTATTTTGCATGAAAAATGTATTTTTTCCACCCAAATTCCTATTTTTGTGCTGTTTGGCTGACATTTATTTTCACTGAGAACATTTTACTACTTTGGATCATGTGACCATACTTTCTTCAACATCATGGAAAATATTTTCTTCAAGAAAGTAGATTTTATTTTCTAGGAAATTCACTCTCTTTCTTCCTCTCATCTATTTACTCTCTCTCGTCTATCTACCAATAAAATCTGAACAAGTATAATATTTTATCGGTTGAAAATTAAATCAATCAAACATATTTAGCCCCTGTTTGTTTCCCATTCACTCCTCATTAAAATGAAAAATATAACCGTCATCTATCATATCAAGCCACCAAATTTGAATTTCTATCTCTTGTGTAGGACTCATAACGACTATATTTTTCATTATCATTTTTACAAAAATGGGAAACAAACGCCTCCTTAATTGACAATATCCATGCAAATAAGTTTTAGGCAATTGAATTACCTACAATTTATTTTCTTTCCGTGTAAATTACATACTTGCAATCAAACACACCTTAATTGTTTTTGAAGTGCTTATAAATCCACATGTCAAGCTTTAACTCTCTCTCTCTATGGTCTTCCGTCCAGACATTTTAATGGCTGTCAGTAAATATCTGATCCTGACAATACCATAGAAGACGAAGTCTACAAAACCACTAATGGACAAATTTATACTGAAATGAATAAGTGTCTTATGGCTTCAAAACGAGTTTGTTAGCTCCTCCATAGATACGGCCGATGTAGCGGATGAACTATGCACTGCAGGGCTGGAGTTGCATGGCTGTATATGGAGTTGTGATGTGGCTTGTGTAACTTGTGTGTGCTTGTGCAAGAGAAATCGGTGTGCCGGCATGTATCTGATGTGTCTTTGCTGCCTGAAAGTAACTATTTGATTTCAGTTGATTTGTGTTATTATTGTTAGCAATCAAATTTGGTTGATAGGATCTACACCCAACGAGAAAGGGAATGAAACTAGTCTTTCCTATTAGCAGTCCGTTCTTCTACCCTTTAAGCCACAGGTTCATTAATACCCAAATATGCTAAGTATAAACTAAAGACTAACTATAATATCAAGACTAAAAAAAAGCTGAAATGTACTAAATGCAGAGGTCCTAGTAGAGAACTCAATGTAGGAAGGACGGTATTGTCTTTACTATTCATTTAGGGCATAGAACGTAAACAAGTACAGAAGTGCAGATATACTACTAGAGGGCTTTTTTTTTTTTTTTTTTAATGATTAAGTCAAGAGAGATATACGATGTTGTCCTCAATGAAGTTTATAAACAAAAGAAAAAGGAAGCAATGGCTATATTGAAAGTGAAAATGTAGTGATTTGAGTTGTTTTACATGTATTAAATGGCTAGTTACTAACAGATTTCCTATGAAAATCTCTCTGAGCATAGGGAAAAACAGAAAATAAATTAACGTTCTTATGTACTAGTGACTAGTTTGCTACTCCAAAGCTGTGTTGCTCTGCACTAGACTATTAATTGTTGTGAGATATATATATATATAATTTGATGAAGAACCAATTTTGTTTGTCATATTTTGATTTTGGCGAGCTATAGCATGTTAGTAGTTTATGTGATCTATGTCCATTGATTTAAAATCAATCCACAATCCATTATCTATGTATTGGAATGGTATCTTGACATGTGAACCCTGTTTCGCCTTTCCCTTTTAGGAAAATTATAGCAGCCCTGCCTTTGACAAATTAAGCTGTTGGATTCCCAGTCATCTTCTTTTCTTTCTTCTAAATTCCCAGCCTTTCATCTTTGTTGCTCATTGGTCCACCTGCACTTGAACTGCAAGTTTTTCTGTCAAAGTGTAACATGTCTTGCACGGTGGTCCTGTTTTTGGGATATTATTGTCGGCCCACTTTCAAAACCAAAGACCAGCTAAAAGAGAAAAAGAAAGAAAAGAAGGAATAAAGAAGATAAAAACAATCTAAAGGGAAAATTACAGCAACGGTCTCGGTCCTTGTCCTTAATCCCTGAATATTCATTGAATCCTGATGCATATTCTTGTCTGACATATTTACTCTTGTTAGTCTTAGCATATTCCTTTGTATCAGGTTATCATCTGGGTCGGGTTGGACAGTGGATGCAGGCTCCCAGCGCCAAAATTGACACTAACTATACCAAGCCATTTGCTGCTCTCGGGAAACGATGGTTATCTCAGTCCACAGTAGCAGAAAATGACAAGATCAGTATTGGACCTCAGAAAGGTGGAGAAATGGAAAATGGAGAAAAGGAAACCGGGGTTGTTTATTATGGCCCTATATCAAATACTATCAAGAAAGTGAAGCTTCTCTCTCTTTCCACCTGCTGCCTCTCCGTGTCTTTAGGTCCTGTGATAACTTTCATGACGTCTCCCGACATGAATGTTATCTTGAAGGGTGCAGTGGCATCTTCTGTTATATTCCTAAGTGCTTCGACTACTGCAGCTCTCCACTGGTTTGTAAGCCCTTACATTCACAAGCTCAGGTGGCAACCTGGTTCAGACAGCTTTGAGGTGGAGATGATGACGTGGCTGGCAACTTATGTTCCTAAAACAATAAAGTTTGCAGATATCAGGCCACCAGAGACCAATCGGCCTTTTGTGTCGTTTAAGGCTAACGATCAGTTCTATTTTGTTGATGCAGAGCACTGTCATAACAAGGCATTGTTAGCTAAACTTACTCCGCAAAAACGAGCTCATGAATCAGCTTTCAAGAATTTATGATGAATGATACTATCTTGTCTTTTTGTCTGAAATTCTGCTGGAGTAATTTTTTTACTTCTGTTTTTATCACGCTGACAATTGCGTTGAAAAGTGTAAGAATGATATATTTGAGGTGAAGTTTTTAGCCTGAATTTTAGTCCTTGTTTGAACCACATTATTTTCATAAGAATGCATTATTGAATAGTGTATTGATGGGAAATGCGTGGATAAAAAATAAGGAAAAATTTTGGATTTGCGGGTAATATTATTTTATTGAAGAATGTGTGGTTGAAATAATGTCAAATCTTTATTTAATAATGTATTTTTTTTCAAAGAATGTGGCTCAAATAGGCCTTTACTCTATTTGGGATTATGGATTGACGTTACGTAAAAAAGTGTACTTTGTTTACATTGTTGAGTTGATCTCAGCTCTATTTCAAGGGGAATTCTGCTAAAGGGATCGGCCGCTATCTTTGCCTGAAGTTATTGAACTCTTGCTGATGCTATACAGACATTTGGTCAAGACCATTTAGGGGTACATTGGGTAGGGATTTTGTATTTGCTTCTGTTTCTTGTGAAATAACTTATGGTGAAGCTCCCTAGGTCAATTTTTCTAGAAGTTCTTCAAATAAGAAAAAGTACTTTTGAAAAATTATTCAAACATATACAAAAGTAGCTTTTTAGGATCAAAGGCGGCTTTTGACTTTTCAAAAGTCTTGTCATACATGCCCTAGGATCTGGCAGCTCTCCCTCTCGCTCTATCCACACGCACTAGCGATTAAGGGAACAATACATATATTTAAGAATAAAAAACAAGATAATTTGCATGTTTGAATAACTTGTGTATGTAACTTGTAAAATCACGTTTAACATTTGAGAATTTAATCTGTATAACGAATTATTGTTGGTGAATTATCGAGAGGAAGGAGGTTTTGAATTTATTCCGTGTTTGTGTGCGCATTGGCGGGGTGGTTTGATCGAACACTCTAGTGGGTTGGTTGGTTGTCATAGTAGGCATTAAATTGTTTGATTATATTTGGACTTCACAACAAGAAAAAGGAAATTTAGTTGGATTATCGCTTGAATAAAATAGATTTTGATTGAGTCAAATTTTTGAGGCACTTAATTTGACCTAAGTAAATTAATTTTTTAATATTTGTTTGCTTTCAATTGAAATGGAGTTTAATGACAAACAACTTCTACAAGGGTTGAATTGTACACAAGAAAGGGGCAATGAAATCTGGAAGGAAAATCAAACTTGGATCCAAATGCCAATGCTTTGTTTAAAAGGTCTATTGGGACCCAATTCTAGAAGTTTAGACCACTTGAGGAGGACATCACTCCAGGACCATATGTTATGTTATACGGCAAATTATGGAAATAACTACGAGATTTCGATTTGTTTGGCAAGATTTTTGAAAAGTTAAAAAGTTGTTTTTAAGATTAAAAAATTGTTTTTGAATATGTGTTTTGTCTGGCTAGAAGAATTTTTAGATGAAGTCGACATAAATAATTTTTTTCGGAAGCTCTTTTATAAAAAACAGAAATCATATCAAACAAATCCTTATTTTGGTTCGTTTTATACTTGAAAAAAGGTTATGAAGTGAAAATTTCTAATTTACTTGCAACATAGAAAGCCCAGGTAGAAGATCAAACAACTCAAAGATACTAATTTTGCAATCTAGAAAGCTGGAAAAGTAATACTTAATCTGTCATAAGATCGTTTGTTGTTGAACAAATTTAAACTAGAGAATATAGTCAATAGATTGCAAATCAATGACTATGACATCCATATATTGTAATGTAGAACATAACTTTCTGTTGACTGTTGTGGATGTTATAGTTTTTATTTTTCCCTTCCCATTTTTGTGTGATAGTGATAGATAACACTTTTACAGTAATTTTCTAAGTTTCTAAATAAAATGTATTAACTAACAATGTCCTTTTTTCCAAGGTACAATTGGTTGAATTCGTCAAGATTAACCCCTCTTGGGGGGCAAGTAATTAATCAAATAATTATAGACGATTGACATATTATGTATGTTTATCTTATTTCTAATATAATAAAAATTTGAAAGAGTACAAGTAGTGGTGTCAAAGTTAGTTGGACTGGATCGAAAAATGCCTACTCTTTACAGGCTAGGTCGTGTCAGGTTCAAACATTATTGCCCGTTCACGAACCAATAAGACAAGCAGTGTTCATCACAAAATTTTGAGGCCAACTTCTTGACGTGCCACAATCCTCTATTTTATTATTATTATTATGATGATGATGATAATACATTGAATGCAGAGTCCATTCCAAAAAATAATAATAAAAAAAATGTACATTTTCTTAAAAATTAATAGGTCGATTTGGACCAGCTCAACACAGTTCGAACGAACTTAAGCTCCAAGTGCTGGTCATGGCACGAGCACGTTATCGAAGGACAAAGCTGTATTTACTCTCCCAACTCGACTTAATTGACCCGATCTCTTTCTTACCGGTTAATTCAAGTGATAGTTATCCAAAAGATTAGAACATCTAAACCTTCGGCTAATTCAGACAAGATGGCCTCCTCTGAGAATTTTACAAGTTTCATCACATTTACATGAAGTATTTGGAGGCCAGATATATCAATTTGGCTATACACAAACGTAATTAAGCCACCTCTTGTTTTTGCTCAATTTTATGAAATAGAGACATTACATTATAGTTTTACCAAAATATAAACTACACCAATTTCACTACTCAACAATCTCATACATATCCCATGTCTTCAACAAAACATCAAGTCCTAATTTGTTCAAAAACCCAAAAATCTTACCTTTTCGAAACGTGTACAATGACTGTCGAAAAACCCATAAAGAATTTGTTAAGATACCCACAAATCTCACCTTGTCAAAATGCTATGAAGTATTGCCTTCCTCGTTGTTGAACGGATAGACAGCGACCGGAGATGGTGAAGAGAACGGTAATGAAGTTGGCCGGAATTAATGGTTTGGGTTCGGTGAGGGGAATGTCGGTGTGAGTTCGGCAAGGGGAAATTGGGATAGGTTTTAGGTTGGAATGGAATTTTTTTTCTCCAGGAAATGGTTGCCAGCTCATCTGGAATCCTTCTGTCAAAAGGCTTTTGTACATGTAGCTGCTTCATTCCATATTTTAGCTATATTTTACTCGAAGACATGGGATATGTATGAGATTATTGAGAAGTAGTGAAATTGGTGTAGTTTGTATTTTGGTAAAACAATAATGTAATGCCTCTATATCATAAAATTGAGCAAAAACAAGGGTGGTTTAATTACGTTTGTGTGTAGTCAAATTGACATATTTGACCTCCAAATGCCTCCTATAAATGTGATGAAACTTGTAAAATTCTCAGAGAAGGCCATCTTGTTTGAATTAGTCAAAGGTTTAGATGTTCTAGTCTTTTAGATAATTGTCACTTAGTGATTGAGCAAGCGGCGTCGTTGGGTTGCCCAAGGCTACATGATGATTACTGCTGTTACTGGTTGCTGGTAACGAGTTTCCTAAAAATGACTAGGCTTGACAGTCATTTTCAATCACTCTTTGATATATATTGCTGTTGCTATTAGGATTTGTTGAAATTATTTTGGCTTGCCAATTCTAATTGTAGAAGATGACTTGAGGTCCGAAAGTGGATGGATTTGGCGAGGGAGGATGAAATTGGGGAGAAATGAATGAACTAATGTGCTGTGTTAATTGATCTCTTTCTTTTTTTAAGTATTTTGACCAAATTGGTTAACGAAGAAATGAGGCCAGCACTACAATTTTTTAAAATTCTGTATGATTTTTTCAAAAGGCTCCTGTACAAGAGACTTTGGTCTAATCTCACAATGTTTATCGTTTTTTCTTGGAAAATGCTCTTCGTAAAGAGCATTTCCTATAGGGGTCTTACCGATCCCTCACTGTAGGGATCAATCTCACATGAAAAAAAAATTACGTCGGGATCCGCGATTGTGGGGTCTATAAAAAACATACCTCTTTACCAGCAGCATGCTCCTTTTTTGAGTTAATTGTTTCATTGGCTACTGTACTTTGCCCATTGTCACGGCTTACCCACTGAACTTTACGATACTTCCCAATAGCCATTGAACTTATCTCCATTTCACCCAAATGGCCATCGGATGGATTCCATCCATCAAAGTGTCCACGTGGAAGACGGTGGGCTGAGTTGTCTGTTAAAATGCCAAAAAATGAAACAATCAACTCCCAAGTCATCCAAACACAACCCATTTTTTTCAATCTACCTAATCTAAAATAAGAGAGAGAAGCAATTCAAACACTTTTCCTTCTCCCCCTCTCCAAACCCTAGCCTCGATTACTCTCTGCAAAATGAAGAAAAACCCCAGCCCCAGTAGTCGCCCGAAATCCATTTCATTTGCAAGATATTTTTCGCCATTCGAATTGGATAGCCCATAACAATGCCACGAAGAACCATATACCTGAAATCTAATTCACAACCCATTTTGACTCAAGTTTTGCTACGGGTGTCTCGACGCTTATATCAAACCCAAACACTCTGCAATTGAAGAAAAACCCCAGAATTCCATTTCGTGTGTGAATAGTGAGTGGTTTAAGGTTTAGGGAAGAGCCCTAACATTAAATCCGTTGGAAGCATTTCATTTGTTTGCAAAGTAAGGACTTTTGATCCTGCTCGTTGAAATTGATTCCTGCTCATTGAAATTGAATCCAGGTTTGCATTTAATTTGTTTGCAAATTAGGGATTTTTTTATTTTCTTCATATGTACCAAATGAACTGCGAAATGAAATGCGATGCTGCTAGTGCGAATTAAATGAACTTGCGATTTAAGCATAATGACTTGTATGAATTAAGCCTAACGACATGGAGTTCATATGTCTTTGCCACAAACAGTGATAAATTTGTTTGGATTTATTTCTTACCTACACATTTTACATCAGAATGCCAGGGAGAAACAAGGGTATTTGTCATAGTTGTAGGCTGCCTAGGCACATGTTACCGGAATGCCCAACAAAGACACGATGCCAAAAATGTGGATTGGGATTTGTGAAATGTATGGAGGTTGAAAAAAGACAAAGAACATAGGTCGATTATTCAAATGTTGTACTAGAGATTGTGGTTATTTTAATTGGATCGATGATCAATCGTCATCACAAGAACCACCTCTGCAATGACAGTGAGTTGAGTGCAAAATTGAAGACGAAAGACTCGCTTGAAGATTCGTCATCCATGTTGAAGACTGCCGTCCAGTTAATAGAAGAACTACAATTGGAGATATCTATTAACATAACGATTCGTAAGAGAAAAGGAGCTATCGAGGACAATGGGAAAGGAAAGGGAAAAGTTCCGTAACTTGTTCTCAACTATGTAATGGAATAAAAGTTTGGCATTGTAGTTTTGAAACATAATGCTTATGTAATCAGCAGTAGTAGTTGCAATGTCCTTTAAGGCATCGAGACTTGGATGCAATTTTGTAGTAGCTCCATTATTTATTGATGCAATGTTGTAGCAACTCAATTATTTTTCAACGAAAGTAGTTCCCTCCAATCTTATATGTATTCTTTGTCCTTGAAATGTATGTCAAGCTTAATTTAATCTTGGAAGAGTGTACCCATTTTAGATGTATGTGTCTGTCACACAATTATTTGTTGTTATTAAGAATTATTCATCTCAGAAACAGATTGCAAACATGAAATCGGTGAAGCTAACATGAAGCAACCTGGACCAAATGCAAAAATCAGGCCATCAAAGAAATCATAGAAGATGGAGAAGTTAATTTTCATAGAACCCATGACCATGCAAGTCCAACAGTATAACTTCTCTGGACACCGAGCAGCCAACAAATGTACTGACCTAAACAACAATTCATTAAGTTCGATATACATCCAAACAAATCCACAGACTTAAGGCCGCTTCAAAAAATCAAAAAACCAAAAAAACATCATTTAATTGCTAAGATTCACTCCGTCCCTGCCCTTCTGCTTCTAGGGTGCGAGGGTGTGGCTGTCAAATTCGTCACATTACTCCGTCTTTTTCGTGCCCTGTCAGCTCTCAACCACACTGATTCCGCCTCGTCAATGGTCCACAACTCGTCGATCATCACTTTGAAGTTAACTTCGGTGGTAGGAACATTTACATTGGATAATGTGGCAGCTAGACCAGCTGTAAGGTTGCTAGTTTGCATTTCTTTGGTGGCCATCGGAGTAGGCATGAATTGGTATTTTGGACCTCCAAACGGGTTGTGGGTCAATGATGATCCCTTCCTGCGCGGCACTCTTTTGGAGACCATGTTTTCCTACAAATGAACAAGAATGTCAGATTACCAATATGATCGATGCATGCCAAATATGTCATGGTAGATTATTTGCTAGAAATTAATTCAGAATACTCTATGAATTAAAAATAGATTAGTTATACTATTTGAATATTTTATTAAAAATGTTTATGTGCAGTAATTTCCAGCCCACAAAGAATTATAGAAAAGAGCTTATGGCCAAAGGCAATCACACCACCATATTTCAGACCAAAGTAGACTTTTAGTCACATTAAATCCAAACAAAAGCCATGCACAAACTATGAATGACTAATCCATCAATATTTAAAGAAGAGTCCTTTAAAAAAGTCATGATTCTTGATGGGTTTTTGGGGCTCTGAAACTCAGTTTCTGGGAATTTGGGTTTCTTGAATGAAGTCCCACTTTTTTTTCTTCATCACATAAGGAAAAATCTCACATTTTAGCATTATGATTCAAACTTCAAATTTGGACACAGGTATTAGCTGGTATTATAAGCACTTCACCAGCAAAAATATTTGAGTAGGCCAACTGCAATATAGGCAACAGGGAACATAGGAGACCCACAAAGAATCAATCAATCGACTCGGCAAAGTTGCTCTTTAGCTATATAAATTCTCATTCAATTTGTATCACTTTGTTACTTACATGTACCTCATATAATCATCGAATCACAATACAACTTTAGATACTAACAATTAGATTCTAAGCAATAGATCGATGCATATGAATAGACTAAAGAAGAAGAAAGATGATGGTCCCCTATCAGAGTAACTATGACTAAAGCTTCACACGGATGTCTATCCATAGCTTGTGCAAAGTCTTCATCACTTACTGGTCCAGGTACAAGTGCTAAAGGAATGGACAAGACACAGGCATATACTTCATTTAATATCATAAATAGTATTTTGAAATTAAATGATTGTAATGGCAACCATGTGACAAAAATTCTTCATTTGTAGAATTAGTACAAAATAAATAAGATCGTGTAGGAAGCACCTAAAAAACAAAAATATAGAGAAATCAACGATGCCAAATATTTTTGAAGTTAAACAGGAGAAGTACGAGAACTGACATTATAGCAGAAAATATATACAAAAAATAAAACATTGTGGTTACCCATCAATATTAGAAAAAAGTATTACCTATTCGTTACCCACTACATTGCTCTATTCGTCCACGGGTTCTAATTCTGCTCCGAACCATCCCTGTTATAGGAGAAATCAATAAGAAGACAATTAAATCATGTGCACGTGACAATGAAAAACAAAAAAGTTCTACCCACATCGGTGTCAGGTGCATCCGACCTATCGTGATACCGTTTATTGTGACCATGTGCTCAGCATGTTGAACATGTCATTTTCACCCGACCCTTTTTTCGAACGTAAGATTTTCCCTACAAATACAGAACCACATATTCATCCGCCCCTTTTCCCTGTTTATCTGCCTCCTTCCCTTCCAATGGACAGCCCACATAGGGGGAATTATGTCCATGACTTCCACATGTGGGCATAATTTCATCTGTTAATGGGATTCAAGATGTTGTCATAACATCTCATATATATCTCAATTGTGTAGCAATTGTCAACGTAATCTTCTGGATCATTCCAACACTCTCTTATGATAGACATTGCGTGCATGCAAGGTATCCCAGTCAATTCTCACTCTCTACAGACGCACGTTCGTTCTTCTAGACAAATTTTTCGACGACGGTGGTGGGACCCATGATCGCGGACCACCACTACAAGCACTTACTCTTCATGGCGCATCCAATGAACATATGGGTCGTCCCCAATTTGGCTTGAAAATGGCAATTTATGGGTTTTCTTCCAATGAACAACCTACTCGCGCGAAGGAGGTTTTCTTCCATCAATTCATGACTCAAATGTGATTCAATGCACAAATCAACATAGAAGAAATGAAATTCAAGGTCAAAAAGCATTGGGTAATAGCTCAGTTGGAAAAATTACAGTACTTGTTTGTCGAATTTTGGAGTCAAATGATGTTCTTCATAAGCCTATAAATGCCGAATTTTGAAGATTTTGGCTTGATTTTTCAGCGAATTCAGGTGGGTTCGAGGTAGGGGAGAGTGAGGTAAGGTTGGTGGTGGTGGAGCCCGGCGGGTATGATGGCCGGAAGGTGTTTGAATTGTGAAAGTGGTGGTGGAAGAGAATTTAGGACTAAACTGTAATGTTCTGAAGAATTTAGGAATGTGATTACAATTAGTTATTTATTGATTTATTTATTTTTTGTTTTATTTGAATCGGGGGTATAATTGTCATTTTATTGAAAAAAAATGATGAAAATGACATTCTCTACAATGAAATGTGGAAATAGGGGCAAAAATGCTGAAAAATGAAAGATATGGACGTTTTCCACAATAAGCTTGAAAGGTAATAACGTTTTGTGCCAATTACCATTTTCATCAATTGGAAACATAAGAACGTTTTGCACACTACAGATCAAACGTAAGGACATTTTGTGCTATTAAGCATTTTAATAATTATTTGGATTCACTTGCACCTTTTAGAACATTTAGGAATAAGATTACAATTTATTCTTTTTTTTTTCCTTTTCTTTTCTTTTTTATTTAAATAAAAGGTTATTTTGGTCATTTTTCATTTAAAAATGGTGAAAATGACATTTTTAACAATAAAACTTTGAAATAAGAATGAAAATGCCAAAATAGAAAACGTTAGGACGATTTCCATAATAAATATCAAACGTAGTGGAATTTTGTGCTATTAACACTACTAAGAAAAAAAAAAAAAAAAAAAAAAGTCAAAACCTATCCCTGGTAAATGTAAGCAAACTAACCGGAAAACCCCTCGATCTCAATTCTAGCCTTCTTTGATTCAATTATTCGATCCTTTTTCTTTTCAAGTACATCGAACAGCATGGAAAATAATGAAAATCGAAGCAATATACCGAAGAAAATTATGAGTGGGTATAGTTAAAATTGGTATTATTTTGATTTTGTTTACTTTTTTGTAAAAATGTATAAGAACCAGCTCCAGGAGCTGGCGCAGCGGAGTTGCTTCAATCTTCCATCGTACGCGTGCATCAGGGAAGGTCCTGATCACGCTCCGAGGTTCAAGGCCACCGTTAATTTCAACGGCGAGACGTTTGAGAGCACTAGCTACTGCTCGACGCTTCGACAGGCTGAGCACTCGGCTGCCGAAGTGGCCCTCAATGCCCTTGCTAGCCGTGGTCCCTCCAACTCCCTTGCTGCCAGAATTCTGGTAAAATTTGTTTACAGACACATTTTGAGGGGGGTTTGCAGCTCTCGCTTTCATCTGGTCTATGTGGATTTCATTTTTGTTCCTTTTCGTGATTTTTTATGGTGAACTTATGTGCGACTTTGTTATTGCTGATTCGAATTTAAGCCACTGTTCAATGACCATTATTTGAGATTTTGAATAGTTTTTTTTAGGATAACAAGTGATTAAAAAGTAGGAAAAGTTTTGGGTTTAGGTGCAATATTTTATTGTGTTAATGTATGGTTGAAAATTAGTAGGTAGAAAAAAGAGTTTCTCAATAATGGTCAAACAAGGGCTAAGAAGAAGGCAATGACATAGATGTTTGAAGACAGATTCTTGAAAAGAAGATAGTAGAAGAACATAAGGTAAAAGGATGAACATTTAATTTAGAGCATTGGAATACATGTGATGTAAATATTTTAGTTCGAAAATAATCCACAATGCATATCCCCGACAAGGTAGAGGGCTTCCCCATGTTTGATAATTGAATATTCCTGATGATTTGAACATTATATCCACTAATTGATTGTTGACACTGGTACTATGCTTTGCAATGTACAGGATGAGACCGGTGTCTATAAGAATCTCTTGCAGGAGGTCTCACAAAGAGTGGGAACATCTTTGCCTGCATATACTACTTTCAGATCAGGCCTAGGACACCTTCCCATCTTCACCTGTACTGTAGAGTTGGCAGGCATTATATTTACTGGAGAGCCAGCTAAGAACAAAAAGCAAGCAGAAAAGAATGCGGCAATGGAAGCTTGGTCATCTCTGAAATTATGTGAGTTACCTAGTCTTCAATGCCTGATATGTGCATGTTCTCTTATGGAGAAATTAACTTAAACTTTGACATTCATATCATGATTTGCGTTGTAAAATGTCACTTTTGGGGAAGTTTATGTTTTCTCGTGGGAAATAATATTTTAATTTATACAATGCAAAACTATTAAATGCAAATTCACTTACTAAATTGTGCCCTAAGTATTACTAGCAAACTTTCCACAAAAAGAGTTTATTACCCAATAAATAAATGTGGAAAATGGAAGGTACATTACAGAGAAGGGAAAAGCACGTATAGTTTAGCATTTATATGAGAAACTATTGTGTGGCAGTCTGCAGAGCTAGGAACTTTTGTCAACAGGGGCAGCTAGCTTCATCGTAAAACTATTATGCTATTATTTCCATTAAATTCCTCTAGATGATTCAACATTAGTCACCAGAGTATATCTGGCTTTTCCTCTCAATGATGAGGCATTATAGTGAGAGAATATAATATTAAAAACAATTTTCCCCTGCTTATCTTGGAGGTCATTTTGGCCTACTGTAGTTACAAAAATAATTTTTCCGAACTCTCAATTGCAAATTCAGAATCAAACTACTTCAATTCTGAAATAAACAAAACCACCTTCATGCCCATCATAATTTGAACGGGGAATATTGAATTTAGTTTGAAGCCCAAGGCCTCATTAGGAATTTTTTGCATTTGAAGTGTGTGTGATTAGTTTCCCGAAAACAAATTTCCGGAAATGGTTTTGCGAAAGTTTTTTCCCTGAGAACAAGGGATGATATAGTGTTTTCTGTTGGAAATTTTAGGTACTATTTGCAGTATTCTGGTGAAACGCCTTTGTCATTTACCATCACTTTTTACTTTAAACAACACATCATTTTGGACAAGCTAATAACAGAACTTCATATCGAAGACTGCTTCCCCTGTTTTAACATGTGAATTGCCAAACTATTTTTACTTTTGACACAGTACTAATTCCAAAGGCAATGCCTACTAGTTCAATATATAATTCTATTATCATTCCACTTGACAGAGGTCTTCTATTTTGAAATTAGCAACCATCTTGAACATTCATGATCAAAAAAATGTAATGGTGCGCCAATTTCTTTGCCTTTGTTGGTTTTAGTAATATTACTATAAACACGTAATTTTTCTTTTCTTGGCACAGAAACAAGATGCCTAACAACCCAAAATAATACTAATGGTTATAAACATTTAAGAAGTGAAAAAGGTAATTTTACCTGGTACCTTTTGTGGTTTTGATCAATTTGAAAATAGGCAGAGGTTTACCCTTATATAATTTTCCATTGTTTCCAGTTGTACAAAGCATGATTACTTTGCATGATGTTCTACAATGTTTTTTTGTCTATCCAGTAGTGCAACAATTTGAGAGTTCAACATCAGAAAGAACACACAAGGATGAGCAGGAGCATGTAACAGTAACTCGTGCTCTGCAAAAGTATCTCATACAGGCGAAATTGGCAAAGTTATCATTGCCAATAAAATTTCCTACATCAAGTTCGAGGTCATCAAATACCCAGCAGCCTACAGCTACATCGTCAAAAATTTTGCCTTTAATATGCCCGAGGGCCGCTCCTCGTAACGAGCCTATTATGGCTGTGAACAACAAAGCATCCCCAAAAACTGCTAGGACAACTCAAAGTAAACCAGCAATTTCTAGCACAAATGAGAGTTCCACGTCATTGGTGGAGAACCATCCGGTTGGGCCTCGAAAGTTCCCTGCAGTTGGAGCAGCACCCTACATTCCAGTCCGGCATTTTAACCCAGATCATAGACTTGCACCACCAGTGACAATAAGAAATGCAATTCCTGTTTTCTCTGCAACACCATTTCCTCCACCTCAGACTTCACTAATGATGAGGCCTCAACCTTTGTGTATGGCACCACCTGTCTGCATGAGAAAGGCTGTTCCCGTATTTGCTGCTGCTCCTGTTAGGGTAGAGGAGATCCCTATGTTACGTTCAACAATTCGAGTAGCGGATCCACGGATTTCCGGACCAACTAAGGTTGAGGAACCATCAGGTTTTAAATTTTCCAAGGTTCCTGTAGAGGACCCACCTGTTTCCAAAGCAACACCTTGTAGACTGGACGAGTCACAATTGTCCAAGGTTTCTCTGGTTCAAATTGAGGAACCTCTGGGTTCAAAGTTACAACCGGGGTGTGTAGAAGGGCCACTGGATTCTGAGGTTCGGGCAGTTGAAGTTGAGCCCTCAGTAGCTCAAGCCTCAATAGTTCAAGTTGAGTCCCCAGTTTCATTGGTTATTGGTCCTGCAGCGAGTTCAAAAGCTCCTGCAGAAGAATCTATGATTGCAGCACAGGACAAACTTCGGGAGTCTCTGGAGACTGAAGGCTTTAAAGGGATAAAAATATGAAAAATTTAGGTAGGGAATTTTTAATAGCAATAACCTTTGGTAAGATCCGTACTGGCTTCTTTATCAAGATTTTGATTCTCCTTTTCTTTTAGTTTCCCTTACCTGCTAGGATTGGAAACTACTGGAACAAAAATATCAGAAGCAGTGATATAGAAATATCTGGTACATGAAGCTCACAAGCTTTTGAGCTAAATCCTTCATTTTCCTCCTCTGATGGAAAGTGGGAAGGAGGCAAGATATACCCGACCTGTCTTTCCTTGTTTAGGGAGAATTTTATGTGATGTCACTTCAGCCAAAGCTACCTTTAAAGTTTCTAAGCATTTGGCTACTGCTTTTCTGGTTTTTGAAAACTGAACTTCAAAAAATATCAGACGTGTTGTAATAATAGTGGCTATAAATCTACAAGGAATTTGGAATATGAAGTCTTTGTTGCTCCGGGAGTCTATATCCTGTCACGCATAGCCTTCATTCATAGGCAGAATTGCACGTATCGTTTATTTTAATCTAGCAGCTCTATCGTAGTTTGAGCTCGAGATCTCTGTTTTTAAGTGTATTCGCTCAGGGTATGTCTGTATATTTCTGAGTTTCTTCATGGGTATACTCAAGCGTTCTCGTTGTTGACTTGTTGATATAATGAAAGACTAAAACATGGAAATTCCAACATTGAAATTCAAATGTTTTCTTTTTCATGGTCAGCTAGTGTCAAAATATTCTTTGGATTTAGTGCCTTGTATAAAGATATTACTGCTCAAGTGGAAATTCAATGCCTACTTCCACGCACTGATCGGTAAGGACTGGGGATTCCATGAATTTTCCTTTCCTGGTTTGTCTTTTCGTTTTTTGACATACTACTCCAGTTGTTTTGACTGCCAGGTAACAATGCCAGCCTTGAGGGATGCGTCAAATTTCTGTTTCAGGTTCATTTTTGTAGTTTTTTTGGCAGAGGTGTTCATATTTCCTTTGATTGCCAGGTTCCAACGTGAGACTCGGGGGATGCCTGAATTTTTTGTTTCTGTGTTATACTTTTTCATGTTGTTGACACAGACTTCTCAGTCGTTGCTTTGATTGTCTGGTTTTCGAGCTGACTGTTGTTTTTGTCATTCTTGTGTAGCCCTGTTTTAGTCATTCTTCTATAGCCCTTTCTGCACAAGCCTATGCATTCATAAATCCTTCCTAGTTTGCGTTCATAGAAATATCCCATCTCAAAAGAATAAATTTTGCTATATGTCTATGTTCAATAAATTAATCATTCTTATTTTAAGGATACATATGAATTGATCAGCCGAAGTAGTTAGGCATGTAATCAAAGTGCAAGTTCAAGTAGAAACGGTTTGCTATTTTCAATGATTGTTATCTGCTACGTAGAAAAATCTGGTCTGGGTTGGACTGTTGCATTTTACAATTCTTGTTTCATCCAATTTTTTACTTCTTCATTACATATAATGGGCTCCACTCGGTCCAACACTGTACCCGTCTGGACAGTCTCCCCCAATAATGGATGATGATCCCATATTAATGTTACTGACAAGCTTAATTGTCGTCATAAACGTGAAATTTTTGTAGAAAATCAATTGATCTCACAGAAATAATGAATAACATGACTCACCAATAAAAACATGGGATCAACGACGCGGTAACTCGAAAACGTTGGAGATGATCAAGAAGTCGTCGAGGGCTAGGGGTTAATTTCTGTTATGACTTGTGGTTATTTTGACAATCCATTTTACCGGTGACCTCAACTAAAGTAGTTGAGAAGTTAACATAACAGTCCATATTGCCAATGACATCAACTATCGTTGTTGAAAAGCAATACCGCCGATCATCTTTGACGACTGATAACTAATTATCGTATTTGACAACTGATAACTTGAGGTGCCATCATGGACAGCCTGGCCCTGGTTATGGCTATTGAAGTAGAGAGTAACAGTTTGTTACACACAAACTTGGATAAATTATTAAAAAGGAATAAAAAGTGAAATTCTTGTCAATTACAGTATTTAGAGCAATGTGTCAAACATGTTATCTTTTCAAAATGATGTATTAGTCCCCCCATTTTCTTGATTCTTCTATATAACAGTTGCCTTTCTTATCCTTCCGTCGCCTGCTCCATAAATCTTTTTCCCTTCCTTTTTCCTCAGTCCGAGTTGAGCTTCGAACTGACAAGTGACAAAGAGTGATAAAAGCCATCCCGAGGATTGAAGCAACCAAATACATATGGCATCTCCTTCACACGACCAGAATGGCACGTAGAGAAGACGGAAATGAAATGGTAAAAAGTAAGGCTAAGCAAAAATTAAATTGCAGATATTTTGATATGCTGCAAGTTGCAACTGGAATTCCACACAGCAATATAGGGGATGAAGGAAACAAAAATTACCGAAAGTCACGGGACAAGACTCCAAGCTTCAAGCATGATGTCATCATCTACAAAAGGCCGCAACGACCACATCAGGCAATAGCTCTCCAATTCTTCAGGGGACGACTTCAGAGTAAGCGAGCCAACGATCCGTTCCTACAGCAAATAAACCGGTGATGTTATAATTGTAGTACCTTTTGACCTGGGGGAGTCACCAGTTGTACCAGATAAAAAGTCATCGACTAGAACAGGCGCTTCTCATATTTAAGTAATGTGGGGTGGGGGAACATACCTGCATTATGTACTCTTGTTTCAGCATACTGTATACAACAGCCATCATTGCAGCATAATCAGTACCTTCGGGTTTTGAGAGATCTAATGATGGTTTTCCCTCCTAATGTATATATAGCAAGTCAAATCAACCAACCAAACTTAAACAGATGGTTGTATGTATGTATGTTTGTGACTGATAAAGAAGACACTATTCATCAAAATTCAATTCAGGCATGCAATTGGTTAAGGAAAGATCAAGCCAGAGTATAAAATTTCAAGAAAGAAGGTGAGATTACAAGCTATTAGTATCCTTAAAAATAGAACAACGGTTAAAATTTTTGAGACAGACCAATTAACTGACATCCTGGATAGATTAAGCGAGAACAAATCTCTGCTATGGCAGAATCATACATGTAAAAAACTTAATATGATTTCAGATTCAGTTCAAACTTCCTAAATGTGTGCCTAGTCAACAGGTTGCAAGCCTAAAAAAATGCACAAAGTATTACTTGCATTAATGAGAACCCCAAACAAATATCGTTAGAATTATATTCTCTTAATATGTCTCAACTAATATAACCAGCAAAACCATTATTACAAACAAATCTCCAAGATCATATTGAAATTATGGGAAGATACAGAAAATTAGTTTCCAATTATGAATGACACAAAACTTTTCCCCTGACGTTTCATTCAAAAAATGTAGAAATAAAACCTTATGCATACCGAAAATCATCTTACTGGGTTTCTCTGTTACCATTGCATTACATGGATCAAGAACAAACAAATTAATATTATATATTATATATGCAGAAAATTTTCCTCCTGGAATTTTCCACTCTATTTTCTTCTTTCAACGTTTGGGGGACGGAGGCATGCAGGGATGGGGTTTGAGTTTACTTGGAAAGAGTTTAGTCTCACCCTCTGGACAGAGAGAGAGAGAGAGAGAGGGAGAGAGGGAGAGGGATAGTTGGATCTTACTTTCTCATACTTAGCCAGAAAGGAATCCATGTTTCCATTAACATGCTCATCTTGCAAAAGTGGCCAATTCTCATTTGTAGACTGGATTGCGCCCGCTGCATCATCAAGAAGGCATTCAAGTTCACCGACAACACCTCTTGCTGAAAATTGATGTAGTTAACATATATTCAGATACAAATAATCACCTTAAAGCTAGAATGACATACATTGCAAAGATAAAAGCTTGGCTTTTTTTTTTTT